GCAATATTCAACTTATCTTATAAATTAAATTTAATGTAAATTTTTAAACAGGTGGCAACTCTAAAAAAATATTTTTGGCTGTAAGCCTTCTTCATTCTCTTTCTTTTGACGCCCATATTGCAATATTAATTTTTTCTTATCAATTTACTTAAACTCCAATTTTCAAACAGGTGGCAACTCTCTAATTTTTTTCTTCCTATATTTTAAGTTAGACCTCTAGCAATACATCGGTGAAAACTGCATTCAAATCCATGCATTCGTTTTCGAGTGATGCGCGAACAAACATACAGACAGACAAACAGACAGACAGACAAAAAATCTAAAAATGGTTGATTTGGCTTCTGGTGCTCTAATAAAGACCCCCCCACATTAATTTTTCTTTAATATCTATAATGTACAGACATCGACCTGTTACAATTTTATTATATGTATAGATTTATAGATGTAGATATAGATTTCATTTATTTTATCAATTTAATACAATACAATTTTTCAAACAGGTGGCAGCCCCCCCTAAAAATATTTTCGGCAATATAATTTCCTAAACCCTTTCAGTTTGATACTCATATTGCAATATTCAACTTATCTTATAAATTAAATTTAATGTAAATTTTTAAACAGGTGGCAACTCTAAAAAAATATTTTTGGCTGTAAGCCTTCTTCATTCTCTTTCTTTTGACGCCCATATTGCAATATTAATTTTTTCTTATCAATTTACTTAAACTCCAATTTTCAAACAGGTGGCAACTCTCTAATTTTTTTTCTCCCTAAATTTTAAGTTAGACCTCTAGCAATGCATCGGTGAAAACTGCATTCAAATCCATGCATTCGTTTTCGAGTGATGCGCGAACAAACATACAGACAGACAGACAGACAGACAGACAGACAGACAGACAGACAGACAAAAATTCTAAAAATGGTTGATTTGGGTTCTGGTGCTCTAAAAAAGACCCTCCACATTAATTTTTCTTTAATATCTATAATGTACAGACATCGACCTGTTACAATTTTATTATATGTATAGATAACTAAATCACGCAAATAAGTATTGATCAGTGCTACTATTTGCAAATAAGCGCAAGACGCTGCCATTCTTAGGTTAATTTTCTTTTTCGATGGTCATCTTATTGCCTTTTTATAATCAAGACGTTGCCATTTTTAACTTTATTTTCCTTTTCGATGGTCATATTATTGTGTTTTTTTTTTATAATCAGGCAATATTAAAAAAAAAATTTCCCCATCGATTAAACAGTGAGTTAGGTATTTGCAAATTATTTTTATTTGCAAATAGCTTACGTATAAACGTAGTAATAGTCTTGGTATTGATACTTTGGTTTCGATTCTGGGTAAATCGGTATTCGATACTAAGGTGACGATACCAGGTTCATTCCCGTACGCAACGCGGGATCACGCGGGTGCCCAAAATAGCCCAGAAATTATTCCCGTACTCAACAATATGGGTAATACAACAATACAATATGGGTAAATTGGAACGTATTGGATCGTAAGTGTCTTTTTCTTCCTGCCCGAAACAGCCCGGACTTTTTCTCCGGGTAAAAATTGATAAAGTGTCAAAGTGCATATCAGCCTGCATTTACTTAATGCTTTTAAGGAATAGTGAATGTATTTTCAACCTTTATAGTCGTAAAATCAAATTTGTGAAACATAAATTCAATTTACAAGAGTTTGCGTTTAGTGACAAAAACAAAAACAACGCGAATCAACTGTTTCTCAAATTCGGGGACGAAATGTGGTTTTTTGCGTTCCCTTACTTCTGGATTATGTTCTATTTTTGAGAGGAAACTTTTCGCTTATTCTCTAATTACCGGATCCGGTCCGGATTGTTAAGGAAAGAACCTACTATTGATACCCATATGTGTATTTTCTTTCGATACCGCCTAATGTATCAACAGGTTTGTCCACACTAGCCCGCGGGTACCCGTGGGTGCCCAAAACTGCCCAGAAAGCGTTCCTCACGCTAGAAAAATGGACAATTGAGAGCGAATACGTTCCCTTTTTGGATCGTAAATGTCTTCTTCTTTGAGGACGAAACAGCCCGGACTTTTTTCCGGGCACAAACAGCTGCTGTTGTTTAAATCCGAAAGCAAATTTTATAAAAAGTGAAGTGGAAATATCACAGAATTTTCAGAAAATGTAGTTATTTGGTAATTTTATTAGCCATATAAGATAAATACACGTAAAATCATTGTTTAGAGTTGATATGTTGATTCCGGGCACGAAATGTGGTTTTTTGCGTTCCTCGCGCTTTGGGCAGTTTTGGCAGTGTTGGCACATTTTTGACACTTGTGAGAGAGTAACTTATTTTTACGCTCTAATTACCGGAGCAGCCCGGAAAGCGTGGGGAACGAAGCTAATATCGGAGCTCCAGAGTTTAATAATCTTGAAAACGTAACAAGACTTCTCAAAAAGCGTTGACATCCTAAATGATGTATACTTCGAATATATTTAACTGAACCTCTATCTCCATCTGGCATCACTATGGGCCTATTGGTCTATGGAGGGCGGTCAACCAGCCAGAATAACCTACCCTAACCATAATAACATCAATATCAATATCATCTTCACACAGGCCATATTGTCTTTAAAATTCTATTTAAGTATATTTCCACATTAGTGCCTCTATGTTATCGTTCGCGCGATATTTTAATTCTTATACCCATTTGATACTAGTATCAATACTTGCATGGCATCTTAAGGTATTCAAACCGTATAAACACAGTACAGCCGAAAAAAAGTATGGAAACACATTACCAAGATTGACAAAAGCCCGGTTAAGTGCAACGTTTGTTTGAAAAATCTGAGATCGAACCATTTTTTATATTTTGTTTATTACGCACTGCAGTTGTTTACGATTTCTTATTAATATTCATGAACTGCATCACTCATATTATGTCAAAAATTTTTTTTTTCAAATATCAAATAAAATATCGATATTTTATTTCCGATACCAATACTAACATTTGTATTGATACTAACCGCCCTATTCCCACACCACTGACAAAACTCAGCGGCTGACTATTGCCTGTACTACTGCGCCTAATACTATGCCGCAAATTTATTTTAAGCTGTCGTATGACAATTGTCAGTTTTATTGTTATGACCTACTGAGTAAGTGACAACAATGTTTATATTGTGTTTTAGGAACAGTAATTGTGACAATAGTCATATGGTGAATTTTGTCAGTGTTGTGGGAATAGGGCGGTTAGCTTCTGATACATCATTTGATACTGGTACCGATAGTTTATGGTATCGCAACATCCCTAGCCGCGGCAAAACTGTTCACAATACCGTGGCAACTCGCAAACAGTGATCGCATTTCTGCCACATTGTTGTAGAACTACCACTCAAGGTCTGAAATCTACCACATATTCGCGTTTTTGAGTAGTTTTATTTTTGCTTGACACAATTGTCTTAATTTTAAGAGCAAAAATTGTCCAACACTAAACACTTATATGGTAGCTAAGGATGATATAATACAAGATTCCCCATTCCCGGCGACGATGAAATTTCTCAAGTAAAAATAAACAAAGCTGAATGGGAGGATAAAAAAACTGTAGAATAGTAAGTTTTCTCAGTAATAAATTTTTCGACAGGAAACGCGGTGTTATTGTGTTAAATTGCAAAATACATGATTTATAAAAAGAATTAATACCGAAAATGTTTTGAGAAAGTATTAGCAATTTTATGTGCATCTAAAGTTTCTGAGGCGCTGCCAGCGTCCGGACTTTTCTCCGATCGGACTTGATTTACTTCTTTTTTAAAGTTAAAATCTACTCCCTATGCCGCTTGACTTAAATATGCTTAGATTTTTTTACTTTTTTCCATTCAAATTAAGAATTTATTAAAAATAATATGGTAACTTCTTAAATTTTTGCTCAATAACTTTTATGGAAACCACCAAGGTTTTGTATATAAAGGTCTAACAGAAGTTGTCTCTTTTACTCCCTAAAATTTCTTGCGGAATCATTTTTTATTTCCCAAATCAGGGGATTGATTACGGACCACAAAAATGTTTTGGAAAGGTGTATGCTTAACAACTTGGCAGAGTATATGGTGCCGTTAGCTTTTTACTGCACAGTAGTGCTGCTGGCGAATGAAGGTTTTCAGAGATGAATCACATTAAAAATAAATACAGGAACAGGCTTTAGACGAAACACTTGAAAGTTAGACCAAAGGTCAGAAATTTATACGGCGTCTGATTATTTACTTATATAAAAAAAAAAATATATATATATATATAAATTTATTCATGGAAAGTTTGGTTTGAATACTATTTAGAGATCAAGCTGTTTTACAAGCACGCCGTTTCAATATTATTCTATTTAACAAAAAATTTTAATCTGCTCCGAAAATTTCGTTTTTGCTCCGATTTTTCGAATCATTGACTCCTGAATCGAGTTTCAGTAGTCCGAACGCTGGGCGTTGCTTACTTTTACTTGAGAATTTTCAAAATCGGTAAATCCCAATTAGCTGTTTCTGGAACGTGTCACATTTGTACACTACTTCGTGATGTGATAAAAAGAAAAGCTTGCAGCACTCCGCAAGGTTGCAGAAATCTCTTAAAATATGTTCGAAAAATATCTTAATATGGAAGGAACTGTTTACACTCTCAAGGAAAAAAATTGCCAACCCAAAAATTAAATTCTTTTTAGAGTCTAATTAAAAGGTTTGCCATTTAGTGAAACCTTGCAGAGTTTTTTTAATTTTTGTACATAGTGTAAACCCAGAAATCTACTACATTTTTTGAAATCTCCACATGTTATTCCAGATTTTACCACACAAAAGACGAGTCCGATCACTGCTCGCAAAAACAAGGCAAAGAAGAAGCAGTGCAGCATTCACACAGAACACAATAAACAGCTGTCAAATTCCAGAAGTCAAGTACATAAAAAGGACACGGAAAATACTGCATTTATCCTTTATAAATATTTAGAAAATAAAATATATATATCAGATCACATTAGTAAACCTTATTCCACATGGCGCACTACAAGGGGGCCGCCAGCGAAGCGGGCCGGGCGGCGCAATTGATGAAAAAACGTGAGATTGCCCAGCAGGAGATTGAGTTTCGCAAGAAGAAAATCGAGGAGGAGTTAAAGCTAGACAAGATTGAAAACAAGTTCGCCGCACATTATGACGCCGTGGAACAGCAACTCAAGAGCTCGACCATTGGTTTGGTCACTTTGGATGAAATGAAAGCAAAACAAGAAGATATTGTAAGGGAACGTGAAAAAAAGTTAGCGCAGAAGAAAGATGAGAAAGAACGTGAAAAACAGCGTGCTCTGGAAGCTATACAGGCGGAGAAAAACAAACAAAAGCGTCAAATACAAGCTCTCTCCTTCAGCTTCAATGATGGTGAAGAAGACGGCGAGGATGAGAACGAACCAGAGGACGCAGACGACAATGAAGTTAAAGAAGAGGATACTCCACCCAAGAAAAAGTGGACAGACCTCAGCGACGATAACGCACCACCAAAAAAAAAGAAAATTTTTAAAAATCCGGAAGTAGATACATCTTTTCTGCCGGACCGTGAGCGCGAGGAGCAAGAAAATCGACTACGTGAACAACTGCGACAAGAATGGGTGATGCAACAAGCAGCATTAAAAGATCAAGAAATAACCATTACTTTCAGCTACTGGGATGGTTCGGGCCATAGACGCAGTGTTGTAATGAAGAAGGGTAACTCAATATATCAATTTCTACAACGCTGCCTTGAATTACTGCGAAAAGAGTTCAATGAACTAAAAACAGTTATGGCAGATCAATTAATGTATGTGAAAGAAGATTTAATTCTTCCACATCATTATTCATTTTACGATTTCATTGTTACGAAGGCTCGGGGTAAAAGTGGTCCTCTATTTCAATTCGATGTACATGATGATGTACGAATGATTAGCGATGCAACTGTGGAAAAGGAAGAGTCACATGCGGGCAAAGTGCTGTTACGTTCTTGGTACGAACGAAATAAACACATTTTTCCAGCTAGCCGTTGGGAGCCTTATGACCCAACGAAGACATACGATAAGTATACCATAAAAGATAAGAGCAAAAAATCATGAATGGAACCTAATTCTAGGTTAATAAACTGATATATAAAAACAGATTAAATTATCATTGAACTCATTCATTTGTCCATAGAATTTAAAAGACTACTTATCGTATCGGCATATCTACGAACTGACTGACAAGTCCTGAGGTTTATAAAATAACCGCTACACCGCGACCCACGACAGTCGGGTCGACCGGAACCGGAACGACCCAGATTTATATCTGGCCAAGGACTGTCACTCCAGCAACACTCCCCAAAAAGTCTTTGAGGAATTTGTATGCTGCTACAACAACAACAACAGCATACCTAATAGCCATAAACCAGTGGCAGATCCAGGGAGGGAAAATTGGGAAATTTCGCTAACTCTTTGATGTTTGCATATGACGTTTAACTTTTTTCTGCTGTACATTCAGCTTCATTTCGTAAGTCGTAACTTAGGCTAAATTGTACGACTCGACAACAGTAGCATTGTCTACTGTCGTACTGAAATAAGTAAACGACCAAAATCGTCGAAAACTATACAGTGCTGCCAAGTTTTTCCATTTTAATACAGGGTGCGTTCAGAAATGCATCAAGTCAAAGCATCAGTCTCTTTTACTTCTAAACTATAATTGATGAAATGCCTTATTTACGCAACTAGGTTCCAATTAGGAATTTAACCGTGGTTGCGCATATTGGACATTTCCATCAATTATAGTTTAGAAATAAATGCGTATGATGCTTTGGCTTGATGCATTTCTGAACACCCACACTAGTCGAGTGGAAATTTTAGGCAATAGCGTGAAATTGTCGATACGATTCGACTCTCGAAAAACGACTTGCATTCCACACGACTCTCGCAATAAGGGTGATTATCTTTCATTTTGTCATAATCTTCAGCTGGATCGGAATGCATTTGCGTACCTATATCTTAATAAAAATTAATGCGAAAAAGTTTAGTAATATCATCGTCCTTAACTATAATGGAGACAATCAGGAAGCTCCGAAAATAAAGACTTGGGCTACCGTTTGCAAAGCTCATCAAAATTATTTTGGATGATTGGCTGTATAATAAACAAAAAAAAAAAAATAAACAATTTTTGCGGTGGACCACATATTTACAGGTGTTTAATTTCACCGAAGACATTGGTCGCTTGTTTTGCAAATATTAAGATGTATGCAATTGAATTTTCTTTGTTGCTCAAATCGAAGAAAAATTTTTCAATTTTAAAAATAATTTTTTTTTTTACAAAAAAAAACGATTTTTGAAAATAAGGTATGGTAGCATGAAATATCACAATCTGCTTAAGCTGAAATTAGTCTAGAACGCAGAACGTATACTTAAACACAGTCTGTATACGCGGAATTTTGTCGATTACTGGAGGCCTCAGTATTGCTTACTACACTGTTGCCACTCATCAATGCCTTTTCATAAACTTACCCTTTCAACTACACTTTCGTGCTATAATAGATTTTAGCTAAATATAAACTACTTAGTTTTCAACAAAAACCTTATTCAATAATAAATTTCAAATATTTTGAATAGGAACTTATACCTTTTTTACCATCTGTAAAACTGACGAAGTGGCAACCATCTAAAGAAAGAGAAATCAGCTGACACGGAAAAATCTAAATTCCGCAGATTTCTGCGCTACGGGCTACAACTACAGAAAAATTCTGCGGTGTTGAGTTTTCATTTACATGGCGCTTTGGTAAGACAGATCGTGTCAGCTGACTCGGGTTTACGTACCGGTAGGTTTACGTTCTTGACTAATTTCAGCTTTAATTGTCATGTAGTTAATATGGCGCCCGAAAAGTGACAATGAAACTTCCTTTTTTGTATCATATGGGGTGTTCACAGTTCGTTCCAAATAGTGTCTCAAAATGTAGACGTCTACATTTTCAGACACAATTTGGAACGAACTGTGAACACCCCAATAGATTTAGATTAGCACAGACACAAACCAAATTCGGTCTAAATAAAAGTGGTGTTTAAGGCGAGTTAATACAGTTCAATGCGAGTGTGAGCGTGAGCTTTTTATTTTGATCAATGTCTTGTTATTGTTATTACTCAACTTTTTGCTATAGTTGAGACATGAAAAGATAGAGAATTAAGATATCTTTCAAAATTATAGAATAAAAACTAATTTAAAATGCATAATATGCCTTTTTTCGAGCTATGGTTCTATGCATTTTTTGAGTGAGTAGATGGTGTTTCAGTGTTTCAATGTAGAATTAAAAATTAACGATATATATCGATATATCGAGTTTTCGTCTCTTAAATATCGAAAATATCGAGTACGGCGGATATCGATACTTTTGCAGCTCTACTTTGTGAACGTTCACGCTCACGTTCGCATTGAACTGTATATCAGGCTTTAAAGGAAAGCTATTTGTATGGCAAACTCCCAGGGCATGAATCACGTATGACGACAACCGTCTGAATGATATCATGTCGATATTGTCTTGCTTCATAAAAATCACAAATTGTTTGATCGTTTGTGCGATATCGTCAACTCGATTCCAGTTTTGCTTCACGTAACAGTAACAGTAACACGTAACAGGAACACAAATGCATAAATCAGTGTTTTGACAACATCGTTTTGTCAGTATCGTTTGAACGACTATCGTTTCAAAGTTATGTGATGGTTTATGAGTAGTGTTTAACGTTTACCTGCAAAATGGCCCAGAAACTCGAGTTAAAGGCTCAACGTGAACATAGTATAAGCTAGTTATATTTGTTGTGGTTTATTCACATTTCTGGGGGCTTGGCAACCGTGCTCAATTTTCTTACTTGCTTTTTCTGACGTTTGGATTTTCGCGTTTTGGCGTTTATATGTCAGTCGCATTTTAGAATTTCTGTGAGTTGGTTTTTTGTTTTGGGTGTTTCTTTTTGTCTACACTTGCAAACATAAATTTACGTGAATATAAATAAAATAAAATAGAAAGATTAATAATAGTGTATAAAGAATGATTGGTACATTATCAGAGATAAAACGATTCCTGCATTGGGGACCAATTACTGCTTTAAGTAAGTTTTTTTTGCTATCTTCCATACATATACATAAATGAAATATGTAATTTTTAAATAATTTATCTATTTTGCGTCGGAATCGGAAGTTATGTTTGTTATGCTTGTTCATTGGCGTATTTTTTCATGCATGGTTCTGTGACGATGCGAATTGCAAACGACCACTTATCCTACCACATATGGACATATGTTTATGAACAAAGTGCAGATAACTTGGCAACTTATTTTACACTTATTTGGTGAATTCAGCGAAATTCCCATGTGTTGGTTCCTGGAGCAGTTGTGATTTTTACACCTTAAAGAATTTTACTTCGAGTGCGTACATGTTTAACACGCTCTATTAAGTTTTGTAGATGGGGAGTGTGAATTAATATGCTTTACAAACGGTATGATCTTCTGAGGACTGCAACAAAAATAGTATGCCTCCTTCATTAGTTCAAGCGTGCCATGTTCTTAATTATATGCAACTTCCGCATTCGCACCAAAACGGAAATTATTAACTTTCCTACACTTGGGCTTGGGTAGCACGAAGGTATAGGCTAATCAAGCATTATGTCCTTTGGTTTTGCTAATATTCATTCATGTTGAGCAGTGCACGTTAGTGCCGTGATATTTATTTAAGTAGTTGACCATTGGTGGTCACAAAATTTGGTTTTAGTAAACTTGTCCTTATTCGTAATACACAAATCACGCCTCAACTGTGTTTTGGTAAAGTAAGTATTTAATTAAATCGTAATTTTATATTCCTTAGTAGTTTTGATTGATATACCGAAGTGGCTTTGTGGATACTTCGATGCTGTGTCCGGGACTGCTAACTGCCATGTTCCGTTCTGCGACGAAGTCGACACTTCTGGCGTTAAAGTCGTCAAGTCGTTGCAAATTGTGAAGCATCCGGAACGCAAGTATATTTATATCTTGCAATATTTCAAAAACTACCAAATATTTAATGTGTATATGCCATAAAATTTTTAGTTTGAGAGTTGACAGCTGTCAAATCAACTGCTAATTTCTTTAAAAAATAAAATCTTTTTTAAAATACCACTTATTAGGTTTTTAGTCCCGCTAGTCACGAATTTTATTCCAAATTAAAAGTTTGACAGTATACAGCTGTGATTAGGTTTTTCGACGTTCCCACGACAGTCGGGTCTACGTAATCGGAACAACCCAGATTTATATCTGGCCAAGGACTGTCACTCCAACAACACTCCCCAAAAACCCTTTGGGGAACTTGTATGCTGCTACAACAACAACAACATTAGGTTTTTAGACATGCTGATAGCGAATTTTATGTCAAATTAAAACTCTGAGAGTTGACAGCTTACAAATAAGCTTAATTTTTCTAAAAATAAGATAATCTTTAAAAATGCCACTGAATAAGGTTTTATACATGCGAATCACGAATTGCGTGTCTAATTAAAACCATACGTATCGGTGGTCAATTTCTCTAGAAATAAGGAAAATTTCCCACAAATTAAACGCACTCTGTTTTAAGGCTCATTGATCTTGAATTATATATCACATTCAATCTTTTTCGGTTGACAACTGTCATTTTCAATGGAGTAAAACAATATATTTGTTTAGCAAAATTTGATTTATTATATACGAGGGAACATATCTAATATTACGTTCAAATTGGCCCCATTTAACTTGTTAAATGAAAAAGAGCTTTTTGGAAAACACAATCGTCCACGTTGAACATTTGGAGTTACCAATAAAGATTAAAAAAAAATATTTCAAATCAAGTTTTTGTGTTTCAATTTGTTTTGTGCGTATGTCTGCTTCATGATATTAACGCATACGGATAACTTAGAGGCTTCAAAATGTTGAATTCGTATGCACTATTTATCTCTGCGTTCGATGAGACCTCTTGGAAAATAACTAATTACCGCTTTGTTTTCTTTGTTGGCGGGCAGATATGCATACAATTTTGATATTTTTTGATAATTTTTAATTTTTAATATTTTTCAGAATATAAGCAGAAAGCTTTCTGATACAACTCTGCGCCGAACTGGTTTTCGAAACGATTTAAATGATTTAACTGGTTCAATTTTCCATCAACAATTGCATGCCATTTAACTTGTTTATGAACATGTATTGTTTATTTAACTGGTTCAAGCCCATTTAACATGTTTAGCTCGTCAATTTGAACGTAGTATAACATCATG